ACTAAAATTGCATTAAACTAATAAACTAAACTAATAACACCTAGTCCGTAAGACAGAATTCTGGGGCAAGGGATATCTAAGGTGGTCGACCAACTTATTGTTACAAAATCGTCTTGCCTGTCTGTCATGCTTTGAATAACGATTCTTAGGTAAGATCAGCAGCGTAGAGGGTCAGGCTTCTTTCTATGAAAAGCAGTCGGGGTATTGCGCCAGCGAAAAATTGGGAATATTTCCTGTAAGTTTAGAGGTGCTACATATTTGTGCATATTAATGCAATGTGATATGAATATAAAGAAAAGTGCATATGGTAAAAGTTGCTTCTAAAGTGATTTACAGAAACCTAATAGGTGAAGAAGGAACTGGTAGGAGGGCTTTGAAATCTTACCCAATCAGGGCAACATATGTTAACTGCTTCGGCAAAATTGAAACCCTGGTTGAAGCCGGCATGGTACGCCCTTGGAAAAGTCACGACAAACTCGCCACAGTGTTGGTCTGTGCGGTAGATTGGTACACCCTCGGCTTGGATCAGATTCGGGTTCATTATAGTGGTGATATGATGAAGCAGGTCCGGTGAGAGGTCGAACAGCTCGGCCGCCTGGTTTCGCATAGCCCTCTCAAATTCCTCAGCGTGAAGACTTGAAACACCATACCAGGTCTTCGGTTCCCCCCTTTAAAAGGCAAGAAAGCAATACATGCTCAGAGCGTTTTAGTTAGTCTATCGCTATAATTGGTTTTCCTATTATGTCATATAATGCGTGCAATTCTAATCATAATGGATGGCTGACAAACTTTTAACGAAAAAGGACACGGCGTAGCATGATAGTGCAAAGTAAACGCAAGGTAGGCGTAGTGAAAAACATAGACCCGCCGTCCGAAAAGGACAGTCTCTGTCAATGTCAAAGGAGAAGGCGAACTTGAGAGGTCAGGCGGAAGACCCTAAGTCTGCCTATCAGGAACGAACTGGTTAAGAAAGTTCAGAATAGTGTCGGCTTTCGCATAAGCAGCCATACACACGACGAGACAACCAGGTAGAGACTGTTATCCTCGGCTGCCTGTATTACATCCTACTCAGCCCTTACTTACTTACTTGTACTTGTTACGGCTGTGATCATGCCTGATCTAGCC